AGACTCGAGCTGAATAATTAAGGATGGAACGAACGACGGCCTTGTATTCATTACCTTTGGCTCTAGGAAGTGACAGCCAGAGCTTTTGTAGTTTTGTTACCGGCTTTCATGTTATTGGGGTGTGAGAAGTAAAGGAGGTTATTGAAAACCACCTCAAGGATTTTGGGATTACGGATGGTAGAGATAAGTCTAGCTTTTAGAACTTTGTTCTAAAAGGAAGCGAAAATTGATATGGTTGCAGTGGATAATTTAAGATTGCGCTCCTGCCGATTGTGACTAAATAGCTGGAAATTCTAGTACTTACGTCGTCAATATTAGCGAACGAAATAGTAGAGTTGTCGGAAAGATTTGGTTACACAATATACATATTGAACAAAATAGGTGATGTGACGCCGTCTTGACCAGGGAACTCAACGAAGACTTGCCAATCATTAAGGGAAGCTTAAGCTTGACATAAGTCGGAAGGATGGAATTCAGATATCAACTCGGAATAATCGACCGTGTCGGACGGCTTGGATAGATCTAAGGCAGCCACAATGGTCCGTTCAGTTGCATGTCGTTCTGGAACATGACCATTCACAATCATATAAGTTATTTCTTGCTTATCCGTTTCAGAGATGAAATTAAGAAGGATTCTAAAATATAAATCGGGCGGTATGATTCCCCATTAGTAGCGTAGTAGGATTATCAACTGGGGAATGTGATTGGAAGTGTAGCAAGCTTCTTAAACATGAAGATAATTGCCTCTAGGTTACTGGATGTGAATGATAGAGGCTGCAGGCCTCGTTACAGATTATTACTTTTTTTCAGACAAAATGGTACCAGTAAATTTTAATGTATCCATAATTTCTCATTACAAGTGTATCCAGATACGGAATGGAACAATTGTTCTCTTCTTCAGCGATAAATGTGATGTTGTTGTTGAAATTATAGAAAATCGTCAAAGTATCTACTATAGAAATTTCCCGAAGAACTGGAAATAAATCGTGTAAAAATTTCGTCAATATCGCAGGTTTGGTCTTAAGTTTTTTCATATGGGTGGCAAGTAGTTTCTTCATCGTTACATCGGCAACAATCTGAGAAGTAGGTGCACCCTTTAACATGCATTTCTTTTGTTTATATATCTTTTTCTCATACTAAAAATAACGGTTATCTTCAATGCAGAAGTCCAGTTACATTAGGCTTATTCCTCGACCTCATTCCATCTTTCCTCTGTTATTTCTAGTCTAGGTCTACAGATATTCTTTAAAAGAGCGATACAACATCAAATGACACCTTCAGCTCATTAGACCTTAAATTTTGTACATTCTTTACTAAATTACATGGAATCCCTTATATAGTATTTGAAGTTTTCGATTAACATTTTATCCCCACCCTGTCAGAATTCGAAATACAGTAACTTTTTGTTTTAGCATGTTAATAACTACCGGCAATAGATTATTCTGCAATGATTAGTTTGGTGCAACTGAACTTAGCTGAAAAAACTACAGCGAACCATAAATAGCACCTGTTCGAAATCTCATGCGTGTTTTTTGTTGCTGTTGTGATGGGTCTTATGGTTCAAAAGGGGGAGAAAGGGTTAAACGAACGTTTTGATGATGACAATAATAATGTCACAGCAAATGGCAACAACAACAATAAAACAAAGGGTTGCGATGGGTTAAGATTATTAATGAATATTACATATCAATGTAATATTACAAAAAAATCGACCACCTGCTTCCCCACCTGCAATGAAGGATATAAAGAAGAATATTTTTTGGGGGATGAGGATTTGTTGCAATTTCTATAGATGAGCCTCAAAACTACTTTTCAGAATTTTTTTCTTTTTATAGAAGACCCACTGAAGGACTTATCAAAAATTCTTTCAAGTTTAGAGGACTCTCAGATCATCTTCTAAGCATAAAACCCTTCAGGGGAACTTCTCCAATTGCTTTCTCTGGAAGCTTTCCCTCTTCTTCTAAGTGTATAAGATGCTCAGAAACTTTCTTACACATTTTTCGAAGTGAAGAATAATTTTAGAAGAAGCTCTCAGAAGTACAGATAACCTCTAAAAGGACTTCTCAGAAATTCTTCTTTGTGTAGAAGCTCCTCAGATATTCTTCGAAGTATAAAAAACTTTACCCATTTTTGTTTCTAAGTATAAAAAACCCTAGGAAATCTTCTCCAATTTTGTGTATGTGTAAAAGATATATAAAAATTCTTCTAAGTGTAGAAGACTATTAAACACAGACACTCTTCTAGACCCCTCAGAAGGTTTTTTATGCATATAAATCATGAATTCAAGATATCCTATTGAAAGACCTATAAAGCCAGGCTGAACTGGAGATTTCCTATGGAATTCCTTGTTCAGTACTGGATTGAAGATTTCCTCTCTTTAAAATGCCATTACCACCCTGTGATTGTCAATTAAAATTTCTAGCAATCACAGGATGGCAACTAGCAAAGATTGTCATCCGTCACAGGGTGTAACTGCATTTAAACACCTTTGGTGTGTATCTACACTACATTAAGATATGAACTGCGCCCTATGCCGGCAAATTTTTAAACTATTATGGTATAACCGTTTCACAATTTTCTCAAATCTACCCTACTAAAGATTACCAAAAGAATGGAGATTTTCTAATACCTCCATTCTCTATTAGAGACAGAGGACCTACTGACCTAATGACTTCCCAATTTTAACCTACAACAAATTATTCAGAGTGTAAAAGGCCTTTCGAAGAACTTCTGTATTTTTTAGTATAAGAGGTGCTCAGAAAACTTTTCAGAAGTTATTCTGAGTGTAGAAGACCCTTCGATGGACTTCTCAGAAAATCTTTTATGCGTAGAAGACCCATGGAAGGAATTCTTAGAAATTCTTCTTTATATAGAAGTCTTTCAGACATTCTTCTAAGTGCAGAAGATCAACTCCAATTTGTTTATATATAAAAGACCCTCAGAAAACTTGTACGGATTTCTTCTAAAAATAAAAAATCCCCAGAAAACTTCTAAGGATCTTCACAAGAACTTTTCAAAAATGTTTCTATGCTTAGTGGGCTTTCAGATATTATTCTATGTACAAAATCACTTCTCAAATTGTTTCTAAATATAAAATTTCCACAAACCCTTCTCGGAAATTCTTCTATGTTTAGAATTCCCTTAGAAGTACTTCTGAGAAATTCTTCTAAATAAAGGACTTAAGAAGGACGTCTCTTCTAAGTAAAGAACACCCTCTCAGAAGGTCTTTTATGTATAGAAACCTTCTAAGTACACTCAGTCAGGCTGAATTCAAGATTTTTCTATTGAAAGATCTATTAAATCAGGCTGCAATGAAAATTACACATTGAAAGCCTTATTTAGACAGCCTAGGTTGAAGATTTCCTATTGAAAAAATGACATTACCACCTTGTGATTTCTAATTAAGTATACTGCCAATCACAGTGTGGCAACTAGCAAAGATTGTCATACATTACAGGGTGCAGTCACATTTCAACACCATTGGTGCGTGTCAACACTAGGGTATGATAGGAACTTCGCCATCTAGAGGCAACTGTTTAAACTATTTTTGTATTACTTGTTCATGACTCCCAAAATCTATTCTACTAAAGAATAGCAAAATATTTGTAATATCTTCACTCTCTATTAAAACAGAAGACCTCCAACAGGTGTATTATTTTCAATTACTTTTTTAATGGCTTCCCCAATTTAACCTACCCCCCTTCCTAAAATCATGGATTCCTTCTTAAATGCCTTAAATTACCTGCGATTTCGTTTGTGTTCCCTACGTAAATCCTAATTATTGGTGGGCGTTTGAAAACTTCTCACATTCAAACATGAATCATAATCCATTAATATTTCCCTTCCACCAGGCGATGACGGGACAATCGTATCTGCAAAATGTGTTAAATAACCATCAAATTTGAAACAAATTGAATCGGATTTCCTTAAATCCCACATAGCCATGGAAAAATTTCTCAAAACATCCATCACAATGTCGGGTCTGTCTTTAGATATCTCCACCCTGGTGACATGCATTTAATAAACCACTGGGTTTGTCGTTAATCATTTACACATCAAACCATCAAGAGTTGTAAAAAAATCGGAGTGATACTCATCCATTTCTGGTAAAGACCGCAATTAACAAATTGTGTTTGGAATTGGAAAAGATTTTCACCACCTGCAGGTTTGTTAAGGACATTTTTTTTCCAAATCATAGCTTGCCACAACAAGGCGTTCCAAGTGACCCGAATGTTTGGAAAGGCTTTCATTGGATGTCTTATTTCCCGAAGAACCCAGTATTTGATTATGCGGCATGGAGGCTTTCAGCGGGAAACTATTAAGTCTTCTAATGGGTTTACGTATGATCCTGCCTCAATTTTGAAATCTTCTTTGGAATTTTTGATCCTACCAGCGATTGAGAGCTTCCGGACTTCACGTCTGTAGGTCACGTTGAGGTAATTTTCTTATTCTAATTCACTACAACAATTTTGAAATAATACCCCGCCGCACCGAGTAGCCCTCAGAGGGTTGGTTAGCTGTTTTTCCATTACTCAATCATATTGTGGGGGATGTTGAGTACACATCGAGTGTGACTCCTATGCTTCTTTTTGTGAATCTACATTCATAAAAAGAAGTAGTAAAAAATTAGCAGATTCTTGTAGTACTGCAACAGACACAAAGTAGGTAGGATTTGGGAAGTTGTCAAAAAGCAATTATAAATATACCCGCCATAGATTCGATTTATTTATACCAAAAAAACAATATTTCCATTTGGTTTGTGTCGACGCTTTATGGATTAAGGCCTGAAAAATATTCGTGTAATAAATCTAATCTAAATCTAAAGTTTCCTTGATCTAAACGATCCGCCATAGATTCGATTTATTTATAAGAAAAAAAAATCCAATTATAATTATTTCATATTATTTTTATTAATAACTTTTATATATTTCATTAACCATGTTATCAAAACTACAACATAACCTCAAACCTAACTTAACATTTTTTCTGGAACTTCTTTCCTACTTCTTTAAAACATAAACACGAACTTTCGATTCCCGTTCCAAGGTGATCAAATTCATTTCATGTTGATTTGTTCGGGCGCAGCCAATATCCACTGTAACACCACATGCCTTCTGCTCCTCCTGCCCTTCGCCTTGAACGATTTCCTGTTCCAAATAGAAATCATAGATACGCACATGACCATTACTCAAAGCAAATAGGCGCCAACCATCCGAAGATAATTCCAAGGCTTGTATCAAATTCCGACGCAGCACCGAACCAGCCAAGATGACCTGTTGATCATAAATTCTCAACTCAAAAGGTTTACGATTTGTATCAATGAGGGCCACAAATGCCGCCGTGTCTGGACGAAATTCCACATCATTTGAGGAGCTAGTGAAATCCATGCTGTCATAGGATTTCTGGGAATTCAAAACAATGTTTTGTATAGCACACGACTTTCCAGTTAAATTATCAAAGTCTCCTTGCGGATTTCTATCATTTGGCTGCCCGGGAAATGGTGTACCAGGAGTTTTACATGCCGTCTTCGGGGTCTTAGGTGTTTGTTTGTTGAGAGCACAATTCAGGATCATTACACCACCATTGGATAACCCTACCGCCACAAAGTTTTCATTACTCAAGACCTTTAAGGCGGTGGGGAAAAGTAGCCGACTTTCATGTAAAATTATACGCCGAAATCGTTCGGGCTTCAAAGTTTTCGAACACATAAGCACAAAATTACGATTCGTGCAAATAAAAATATTCTCTGTACCACATTCAATGCTCGTGAAGCGTAAACCCTGGGAACCCATTTCCGCGCCACTGTTCTCATTTAGCTCCTTAAGGGCTTCATCGGAGTAAATATTTTTCTGAAATAGTGCCTTGGTTTTATCGAATCTCGATAATGATTGTAGATTCTTTGTCTCCACATAATCCTTGAGGTAGGCCACTGAACTTTGTATTAGCTTAACCCTAGCCCATGGTGAACTATAGCCGAATTTTTGTTGTAGTTTTGAATAATGTTTTTGTTTTTCATTCACTTTCATTTCCAGGGGATTAAACGACATCTCTGAGGTATCCACCAAAGTCCAAACGGTCAGCAGGCCAGAATCGTGCAGAGAAACGAACTGAAAGGGGGGAGAACAAGGGAGAGGATGTTAAAAATGAAAATATATTTATATAGCAATTATTTACAGATAAGTTTCTTAGATTTTTTTTAAACCCAGAAAGGTCTTTGTCAAATTAAATGAGTAGATAATATCTAGGGTCTAAAGGTAGTAGGGTCGATTTGGGGAGGTAAAAACTCGAACTGAAGGTACCGCCCTGTGGTCGTCATCACAGGATAGTAACTGAATATCGCCTCATTTGGTTCGTATCTACACTATACCAAAATTCTTGAACGAAAGTTACCAGCTTGTGATCGCCAGTTTCGATTGCTGTCCGTCACAGGGTAATATATGAATTTCACAACATTTGGTTTGTATCTATGCTATGTTTAGATATAAACAGCACTATCTATAGACAAATACCAGAACTATTTAATTTCTATTCATCTCCCTAAATGGAACCTACTACCTTTGTGGGACATATGATTATTCTTGTCGATGACTATATAATGCGGCTATTTCTTAAACGAATATTTTCTGCAGGCCCCTACATTTTTTAAGCATGGAAGATGCTCAGAAGGACTTATGAGAAAAGTGTCTAAGTATAGAAGACCCTCAGAAGGACTTCTCAGAAATTTTTTTAAGTTTAGAAGGCTCTCAAATTTTTTAAGTGCAGAAAACGTTTCCGATTTTTTTCTAGGTATAAAAATTTTAAAAAATATTTCTAAGGCATCAACAAAGACCCTCGAAAGTTATTTTATGTATAGCAGGGCCATAGAAATTACTTCAAGTTTAGAAGATCCTCAAAAGGACTTATCGGACATTTTTCGTAGTTTAGAAGGCTCTCGGATATTCTTCTATGACATTCAGAAGAAATTCTCCAATTTGTCCTACCTATAAAAGATCGTTAGAAAACTTTTCCGATTTTTTCTGATTATAAAAGATACTTCCTCGAAAGGCATTTTATGTATAGGAGGTCTTAAAAATACCCCCTTCTTCTAAGTATAGATGAACCTTCAAAGGAAGCTCTCTGATAATCTTCTAAGTACAAAAACCTTCAGAAAAACTTCTCCAATTGATTTCTAAATATAAAATACCCACTGAAAACTTCTCCGAAATTATTTTATGTGTAAAATAGGCTCAGAAAATTTCTCAGGAATTCTTCAAAGTGAAGAAGAACCTTTGAAGAGGCTCTCCGAACTTTTTTAAGTATAAAAGGACTTAAGAGAAGTCCTCAAAAGGACTTCTCAGAAATTCTTCTTTGTGTAGAAGCTCCTCAGACATTCTTCGAAGTATATATGGCGCTTAAAAGGACTTCTCTGAAATTCTTCTTTGTGTATATGACTGCCAGATATTCTTTTAAGTACAAAAGACCTTCTCCAAAATATAAAATACCCTTAGAAAAGTTCTTCGTATTTTTGCTAAGTATAAAATAACCTCATAAAACGTCTCAGAAATTCTCGAAGTAAATAAGGCTCTCAGAAGAAGTTCTCAGAAATGTTTCTGTGTTTAGAAGGCTTTCTGGTAAATTTAGTGTTACCTTCGAAGAACTTCTCAGAAATTCTTCTAAATAACGGGCTTAAGTAGTAGTAGAAACCCTCAGTGCCCATTCAGTCAGGTTGAATTCAAGACTTTCTATTGTAAGCTCTATTAATCCAAGCCGAACTCCAAATTTCCCTTTTTCAGCAAGGCTGAATTGAAGATTTCCTATTGGTAAAATGCCATGAACACCCTGTGATTGCTAATAAAGAATGCTAAAAATCACAGGGTGGCTACTAGCAAAGATTGCTATCCATCACAGGGTGTATTTTTTATTCCTACGCCGTTTGTGCGTGTCTACACTACGGTAAGATATGAACTACGTCATCTAGCGGCAACTGTTTAAACTATTTTAGTGTTACTTTTTTACGGCCTCCCAAATCTATCCTACTAAATAATAATGGAGATTATTTAATGTATCTATTAGATACAGAGGCCATACCACGGATTTGAAATGTTAAATACTTGTTAATGACTCCCAACATTTAATACACTTCCTTTATACGACTTCTAAAACTCCGCGATTCCCTTTGAAGTCCCCTTCACTTACCTGCGATTTCGTTTGCGTTCCCTTCGCCAAAGCCCAATTATTTGTCGGTGTTTGAAAACTTCTCACATCCAAGCATGAACCATTATCCATTAATATTTCCCCTCTACCCTGCACCCCAGCCGATGATGGGACAATCGATTGTGTGGCAGCAAAATGTGTCAAATAACCATCCAATTTCGAACAAAATGAATAGGTTTCCCTTAAATCCCACAAGGCCACAGAACCATCTCGCAAAGCAGCCACCACAATGTCGGGGCAATCGTTAGATATCTCAACCCTGGAGACTTGGCTCCATGTGGACAATAAACGACTGGGTTTATCGTTGACATTGACACACCAAACCATTAGCAGTTGAGAAAAATCCGATTTATAAACATCCGTTTCCGGTAGTGATTCGTGCACTGTAATTACCAAATTGTATTTGGCATTGGAGAAAATTTTCACCACCCGCAGGGTGTTTAGGAAATTTGCTTGCAATTCATAGCTTGTATCCACCAGACGTTCCAAGTGGCCCAAATGTTTGGGTAGGTCTTCGTTGGATGTTTTACTTCCCGAGGAACCCAGTATTTGATTAATGACCATGGAGGATTTCAGCAGGAAACTATTGAGCCGTTCATAGTCAATGGGTTTTCTGATGACCCTGCCATGATTTTGTAATTTCCTTTGGGATTTTTGATTCTCCCACAGTTTAAGAGCTTCAAGGCTATTTTCCAGTTCATCATTGCAGGGGAGTTTCGGGTCATTTTCATCCTCTAATTCACCACAACAATTTTGAGATAATACCCCGCCTCCATGGGGAGCCTTCAGTGGGTGGGTTAGCTGTTTTACCATTTCCCAATCATATTGTGGCGGATGTTGAGTCCACATTGAACGCGATTCCCATGATTCTGTTTGCTGTTTCACATTCATGAGATTATCCTGGGTCTGGGTGGCAATTTGACAGGAATTTAGCTTGCCAAAACTTTGCATGAACACATCATAGGATATGGGTTTCATGTCGAACAGTTTAAATTCCAAAGTGTCCAATTGGATTTTGGCCATAAGGTCCGCTCCCCTTTTATTGTGAATGGGATTCCTCAGGAAATCCTTATAGCCTCCATAGAAAATTTGAAAGTTTCCTTTGTTGCTGTTGTTTGAATTTGAGAAATTTGTTAATGTCGAAGGACCACCATATGCTGATATGCCCGAATCCAATTGATCCGAGGTATTGAGGCTAAAGTTTTCAAAACTATCCGTCAGATGTTGAGTCGATTGGTTTGAAACTTCCCCTAGCTTAGGGTGGCGGCGAGAATTTAGTTCATAGTGGCCTGAGTCAAGTTTACGCTCTTTATCTCGTTGTAATACCGTAATGGGGTCTTGGGTTATTTCGGATTCCTCATCCTCCTCGGTATCTAGATTTTTTGAATTTTCTTGCTCTTCGTCGTAATTTTCAGATTCATGGGAGTCTTCTTCCTCCTCAGAGGTTTCTTTTGAAGAACTACAGTCTTCGTCCTCGTCATCATCTTCTTCTTCATTAGTCTCCCCTTCCTCCTCATCACTGGGATTACTGCTGCTGCCATGGGTTGAAGACTTCCTTGAGGATCCTGTCTCAAAATCTGATTCATAGGAATCAAAATCATCGGAATAGTTTATATCCTCATCCTCCTTTTTAGCCTCTCTGGCCTGCCGAACCCGTGACGAGGAACGTTCTCTTTTCTTTTGTAACTCTTCGGGTTTTTCTGGTCTATTTCTCTCCTTGGCGGTTTTTTGTCGTTCAGTGAACGGCACCTCAAAGGCCACGGGTTCCTTTAGGGGCAAAGCAGCACCATTGGGCGCCAATTGCACCACACTATCCCGCCTTATTTGTTCTTCAATTCGTTTCTTCGCCGATTCTCTTTTGAGTACGACAATTTCATCGGGCGCCAATACCCGACTACCTTTACGATTTAATTTGGTTTCCTTGGGGTTGGTTTCCGGTTCCGTTTCATAATTTTCCTCCTTAACCTCACTTTTCCTTCTAGGCGGTGGCGAGGCAACGGTGACATTTGAATGAGTATCTAATACCGGATTTGGTTTGTGTGAGATCACGGCGGCAGAGGGGCTTGACTTTGCTGTGGCATTTCTCCTCACAGCCTCCTTGATTTCAGGGGTATGTTTGGCACGTAAAGGCTGCTGTCGTGGTGTTGTGGCGGTAGGGGACGCTGTAGAACTTTTTGAAACCTTGGTAAGTCGCTGCTGCTGTGGTTGGCTGGCGGAAACCCTTGTCGTTGTCTTTGATGGAGCTCCCGTACTATTGATTTTTGTCTGAGTTCTGTTATTCGTAATTTTCGTGGTGGCTGTCTTAGAGGTGGTGGTTCGGGGTGTGGTCTTCTCATTGGTTGAAGATTTTACTGTTGTGGCCGGCTTCCGGACTTCATTTGTTTTGGATATTGTGACCTTAGTGGTTCGTAGCTTCTCTTTTTCATCGGTACTTTTCTTTCGAATAAGAGTGGATGTTGGTTTCTTTGTTGTTGATCGATTTGTGGTGGGAACTTCGGCGGCACGGCTTATTTTCGTTACCTGGAATAGGAAAAATAGGAAAAACAGCATTAGAGGGCAGACTTTAAAAATCAGACATCATTTTACGAAAGAAAAACCCTAGAATCCGTAGAGGTTCCAAGGCATTTTTTTCTAGAGACAATATTTTTCGGACGCAAGGTTTCTAGAGGTCCCTGAAAAATATTCTTTAATAAATCCACGCCTTCTAGAGGTCGCTGAAAATATTCTTTAATAAATCCACGCCTTCTAGAGGTCGATGAAGCCTTATAGAGGTCGCTGAAAATATTCTTTAATAAATCCACGCCTTCTAGAGGTCGCTGAAAATATTCTTTTATTAAAAATATTCTTTAATAAATCCACGCCTTCTAGAGGTCCCTGAAAAATATTCTTTAATAAATCCACGCCTTCTAGAGGTCCCTGAAAAATATTCTTTAATAAATCCACGCCTTCTAGAGGTCCCTGAAAAATATTCTTTAATAAATCCACGCCTTCTAGAGGTCCCTGAAAAATATTCTTTAATAAATCCACGCCTTCTAGAGGTCCCTGAAAAATATTCTTTAATAAATCCACGCCTTCTAGAGGTCCCTGAAAAATATTCTTTAATAAATCCACGCCTTCTAGAGGTCCCTGAAAAATATTCTTTAATAAATCCACGCCTTCTAGAGGTCCTGAAAAATATTCTTTAATAAATCCACGCCTTCTAGAGGTCCCTGAAAAATATTCTTTAATAAATCCACGCCTTCTAGAGGTCCCTGAAAAATATTCTTTAATAAATCCACGCCTTCTAGAGGTCGCTGAAAAATATTCTTTAATAAATCCACGCCTTCTAGAGGTCGCTGAAAAATATTCTTTAATAAATCCACGCCTTCTAGAGGTCGCTGAAAAATATTCTTTAATAAATCCACGCCTTCTAGAGGTCCCTGAAAAATATTCTTTAATAAATCCACGCCTTCTAGAGGTCCCTGAAAAATATTCTTTAATAAATCCACGCCTTCTAGAGGTCCTGAAAAATATTCTTTAATAAATCCACGCCTTCTAGAGGTCCCTGAAAAATATTCTTTAATAAATCCACGCCTTCTAGAGGTCCCTGAAAAATATTCTTTAATAAATCCACGCCTTCTAGAGGTCCCTGAAAAATATTCTTTAATAAATCCACGCCTTCTAGAGGTCCCTGAAAAATATTCTTTAATAAATCCACGCCTTCTAGAGGTCCCTGAAAAATATTCTTTAATAAATCCACGCCTTCTAGAGGTCCCTGAAAAATATTCTTTAATAAATCCACGCCTTCTAGAGGTCCCTGAAAAATATTCTTTAATAAATCCACGCCTTATAGAGGTCCCTGAAAAACATTCTTTAATAAATCCACGCCTTCTACAGGTCGTTGAAAAATATTCTTTAATAATTTCACGCCTTTTATAGTGCCCTAAAAATATTCTTTAATAATTCCACGCCTTTTATAGGGCCCTAAAAATATTCTTTAGTAATTACACGCCTTTTTTCGCCTATCTTTCCTTACGAGCAACAGCAACGCCATCTATATTTCACCTCTATAAACCACAAAGAATAACAGCCGTCTTTTATCATGTCATTAACAGTTCTCCTACTTTTACATTCTCTCGCTCTCCCTCATTTGTTTTGCTCTCACAACACACTGATCATGAATTGTCCAGCTGCTGCTAATCAATACAATGGGGCGGCATATGCCTCCCCTTTTGAAAATACCCACACACATACTCTCTCTCTCTAACTACCATGCTCTCTCATTCAGTACAACAGCGCACTCACTCATCAAAGTTCAATGTTTAGCCCATTGATGTTAAGTGGCGGCGGCAGTGGTCGTGCTGTTGTTGCTTTGCTGAGTGTCCACAGATTATTGGGTCAGTCCAATTCACAGTAAACGTATGAGACAAATCAAAACATAGAGAACAAATAGCCCACAATAAAGATGAATAAAAGCAATAATTAATTAATTACTAAATAAAAAATAAAACAAAAAAGGCAGACCAAAGTGACAAAATTTAATACATGAAATGGCAAAGTGAGACACAATCAAACAGAAAACAGCTGAATTGCCAATATTTTTGTGTGCGTTCATTCATTTTGCGGATGAATGGTGGAGGAGAGTGAAAGAAAAAAATAAATAATGAAAGAAAAACCAGTGGTGGAAATTGTGTTAATTAAAATATAGATATATAATAATTTATTCAATAAATAAAAAAAGAAAAAACAACTAACTGTGCAAAATTGCCCTAGGGCTGTGTGATGAAATTCCGTGTGTTCGTGTGTGAAGGAAAAAAAATTGAAAATGAAAATTGTTGTAGGCGTTTTGGAAATTCTACACAGACAATCCTTACTTCTCTTTTTGTTTTACTGCTGCTGATATTCACATTACTTGCGGTTTTCGACATCGAAGAGATTCAGAAGAGGCTCACTTGGAACAACACAACAACACTTGTGATATAAAAATATTGGATTTTAAAAATATATTTAATTAATTTTATTTAGTGCTCCTGTTCGTCCGTCCACTTAATTGAAGGAAAAATTTTTCACTCAATATATTCATGCCATGACATTTCCTTTGGTGAATGGTGGTGCTGGTACCCTAGCAACGTCCAACAAATAATTTTACGTAGTAGTTGCTTTGACCATGGCAACGGAAAATTGATAGCAAAACAAAGACGGAAGAACAAAAAAAAAAAAAACCGAAAAGCAACAACTGTTTTTTGTTTTGTTTTTCATTCAACAAAGGAGACAAGACATTTGATAACAAACAAAGCCGTTTAGGCGGGGAGGTAAGTAAATGTCATGTACAGTTGTTGTAAAAACAGCTGTTTTAGTTGTAGGAGAGAGAAAGAGAGAACTAAAACTCAACACAATTGATAAGAGAAAAATCAAACACAACTGAGTTGTGGTGGTTTTCTACGTTACAACAGAGTTGTATTAAAAAAAAACGTTAAATTTAAAAATGGATATTGTGAATATTTAAAAAAAATTGAGGCGTGAATTTATTAAAAATATTTTTAAATATTATTTAAAAATATTACTTACTTAGCTGGCTTGTTACAGAACGGTTGTTCCATAAGCCGTGCTTAAAAAAGATTTCCAAGCGCTTCGGTCTTGTGCGCATCTCCGCCAATTTGAAAGACCACGTTCTAAGATGTTTTCTATTTGGTCTTTCCATCTGATTCGTGGTCTTCCCCTTCTACGGGAACCATCAGTTGGCTCGCTTTTATATGCCTTTTGAGTTGTGGCATTCTCATTTATTCGCACAACATGGCCTAGCCTTCGTAGTCGCTGCTGCGACTATGTCTATGTCCGCGTATAAATTGTAAAGCATGTGGTTCATTCGACGCCGATATTCACCGTCGACGCTGATCGGCCCGTAGATTTTTCGGAGAATTTTTCTTTCAAACACTCCAAGAGCTGCTCACCTTGTCTGAATCCTCGTTCTGTGAAGGGCTCTGATAGGTCCTTTGATGTCATTGACCATTGGCTTCAGTCGTTTACACAGCACGCTGGATAGCACTTTATATGCATATCGTCTTGTCTCATTTTTGTGCACGGAACACAGGATGCTGAGGTTCCAATCATTGGACATGCATTTCTCTAGCCAAATTGTACTAATCAGCTGGTGCATGCTCCTGACCAGCATCTGACCACCAGTCTAGAATAGTTCGGCTGGTAATCCGTCTGCTCCTGCTGCTTTATTGTTCCTGAGCCGATTAATTGCTTCTATGACCTCATCTTGGCTAGGTGCTATACACTCTATGCCATCATCTCTGATTGGTTCTGAGGTATCTTCTTCACCGCCACTATTTGATACGAGAAGCTTTTCAAAATGCTCCTTCCAGATCCTCAACTGTCACCAGGTTTCCTTCTTCATCTCTACAGGAGTATGTGCCTGCACCAAGACTTCGGTATGTTTTTTTACCCGTTGGTAGAATTTTCGGACTTCATTCTGACTCCTGTACATCTCGATTTGCTCACGCTCAGGTTTTTCTTGTTCTTTCTTCTTTTTCTGAAAATACGTTTCTCCTCTCCCCTTTTCTCCCTATAATTCTCCATCACATTAGGTGTTGCTACTGTCTGCATGGTTGCCCTATACGCTGTTTTTTCACATCAGTATCATTACGACACGCCTGATCGTACCATGGATTTCTTGATGGTTGTTTTTGGTACCCAATTTTTGCTTTTGCTGCAGTTTCTAGGGAGTGGGCAATTCTTTGCCATTGTGCTTCTATACTATTATCGGAACAAGAAGTGCTTTCGTCAATCAAATGGGTAAGTTGACCGGCGTAGGCCTCGGCTACCAGTTGTGTTTGCAGCTTTTCGACGTCGAGTTTCCGTGTTGCGTCAGATCGCACCTTTGCTGCAACATTAAGGCGAGTGCGGACCTTGGCTGCTACAAGATAATGATCCGAATCGATATTCGCTCCTCGGATCGATCAAGCGTCTAATACAGTGGATGAATGTCTTCCGTCTATCACAACATGGTCAATTTGATTTCTCGTTGCTTGATCAGGAAAAATTCAGGTGGCCTTGTGTATATCGAGATGCTTGAATCTGGTGCTGCTAACTACCATGTTTTTTGCTGCCGCGAATCAACCTCATGCCGTTTTTGGATGTTTTTTCATGAAGAACTCTTTTTTATAGGAAGAAAGTCTTCAGGTCCTTGGTGACTACTTTTTCCTATAGAAACAAATCCTCAGGTCCCTAAGTACTACTTTTTTCTATAGAAAAAAATCCACAGGACCCTGATGACTACTTTTTTCTATAGAAAAACAAAAAATCCTCAAGACCCTGAGGACTACAATTTTATATAGAAAAAATTCCTCAGGAATTTTTTAAAAAATAATATTGTTTTTCAAAAAATATATTTATTTTTAATTTTTATTCTTTAAACTTAAAAAATAATATCACAATAATTTAAAAAAATACAAAACGAACTGACTAATGACTATATTTTATAAAAAAATTAATACAAAAATTTATTTTAAGTTCTAAAAAAAAAATAAAAATTATCTCAAATTCCAAATCATTAATAAACTCAAGACCATTAGACCCCGCAACAGCTTATGGGGACCCACATAAGCCGCTGAACTTTCCAAAGGATTTACATATTTTTCTTGTACGTAATTGTGGAAAATATCCTCCATTAGCCGACTGTTGTAATCCCTTTTCAGATCATAGATACCCTTTAAACCATCCGTTTGATCCCGAAAGATCACATCATTTTTCTTATCGAAAATCCCATACATCGTGAAGGGCCTTGTATCGGATTTATAATTTTTACCAAAAAGAGCATCAATATCCCGTAAAGAATTATGGATTTCATTTATCCTTGTCGGAGAACTGTCATGGGTCATTATGTGACCGCGGGTGGTCCAATGAAGATAACAATATTCGAATTTTGAACCTCGGACATTGCCGCCATAGGGGCAAAGGACCTTAAAGGATTTCTGGTGTGAGGATTGTTTTACCCAGGATGAGGTCAGGTTGCCGATGGTGTATTTCTTATATACATCCGAGCTTAGGAAAGCCACATCACCCTTTTCGGCCAGGCATCTTAGGGCTCCCTCATCTCCCTGATAGATCTGGGGACATTTGTGTGAGGAATGCGGCTCCCATAGACACGATTCACGATGGAAAAACTTGTGCATGGATGGCGGTGTGCGGGTCTGATTGTGTAGGGTTTCCAACACCGAAAGATATGCCGGACCCTCAAAAGAGGGTAGACATGCCTTGGCTCCCTTCAAATCGGCAAATGTTTCAAATTTTGCATCCTTATGGACCACCGCAATGGTCACATAACGTTCATGCATATCCTGAGAAAATTCGAAGAGCACCGGTTTCAAGTTATAATCCCTTTGAGCCTGCAGGCGATGTTCATGATCGACCAGGACCACATCGGCAGAACGGAATTTTATGTCATCCATACAGGCATCAAGATTAGCTGAACGGACACATTGGATGTTGGGTTGAACTCCATAAACCTGGGAAGCTTCCTGCATCCAAGAACATTTAACGTGTTGTATAATCGAAGTGGTGCAGAACACAATCGAACGGGGTGGATTACATTCGGGGAAGCTATAGGCGCTCTGGAAGGCTGGGGCTTGATCCAAATAATCATCAATGGGTATGACATTATCCAGCGGCACGATATCGACATGGAAATTTTCCAACAGGCTGAGCAAGGCATTCTGCCAGCTATTCGGTGAGTCATGGTTCAGGCCGGTCACGATATTTTGTATCTGGGCAGCATGAGTGCGGCGGGCGGCAATAACCGGCCAGGGTTTGGCAACCCAAACACAGGGTTTGGTGGAGTTGATGGGCTGCAAATGGCCTTCAGGACAAAGGTAGCTGTACTCTGAGGGTTCTGCTTGCTTAGGGAGACCTGTAAGCTGTAAGAAAGGAATAAAATTCGAATTAAAAATATTTTCTCTTCAAAAAGAAAATCCACAACTTACTCCAAAATGACTGCGCACATCATCGAGCCTGGCCCAGGCCACATTACCGCCACCACTGGTGAGGCAATAAAGGGCACCCCGCCTACCCCAATGTTTATCACCAACATCACATCTATACGAGTCATAACACATTTGACACAGGGAAGGGTATCTGTTCTTCAATTGGCGATCTTGTTTGGGATCTGGGACCCAAGGGCCAGCCTTACAGCTGGGACCAAAGAAATGGGCAGAAGAGCGTATGCGATCCTCCGTTATTGAGATATCGGGATCACAGGATTTGGTGACCATGGCGGATTCAAAATACTATAAGAAAAGCCAAATATTAATATAAGTCCTCAAGTAAATTATTCTCTGTCCTACTCACATTAGCCAACACCTCAGTCCAATGACTGCCCAGGCCATAACCGGGGTGACACAATTTGGCGCCTCGCAAATCATGTACCGTGTGAATTTCCGCTTCATTATCGACCACCGCCACAACTTCATATTCGAAGTGCGAACTATGCGATCTCAGCTCACTTGTGACTAAAATCTCTACACTGGCCCATCGGGCTGCCACTAAATCTTCCGAGGTTAACACACCAAAATGTGCCGTGCCTTTGTGGATTTTTCGAACACAATCTAAACGATCAACTCCCACCACACATTCCATATTTGTTTGGGCCTCCAGAATGGGACAGAATTTGGGAGTTTTGCGATAGGCACCACGGGACTCAACCACACAGACGCGTACTGGAAAAGAAAGAAAATAAAATTAGGAAAATAATCCTTCTGGTCATGCAGAATTTTTTTAGACAAATATGCCTCAGTGAGTCTGAAGACCTTAGGCAACTGACGGATTTTTTTCTATAGAAAAAGGTAGTCCTCGATTTTTTTCTAATTTATAAAAAATTGTCCTCAGGGAACTGAGGATTTTTTCTATAAAAAGTCTCCTTTGAGGAACTGACGATTTTTTTTCTATAGAAAAAATTGTCCTCAAGGACCTGATGAATTTTTTCTATAGAAAAAAGAGTCCCCAGGTTCCTGATTTTTTCTATAGAAAAAAGAGTCCTCAGGTTCCTGATGATGAAGAAAAAAGAGACTTCAGGGACCTAACGATTTTTTCTATAGAAAAAAAGAGTCTTCAGGGATCGGTCGATTTTTTTTTCTATAGAAAAAAAAGAGTCCTCATGTACCTGACGATTTTTTTCTATAGGAAAAAGAGTTCTCAGAGACCAGATGAACCTATAGAAAAAATAATTATTTTCGGGTTCTGAACTCAAAAATCATTGTATTCGTTTATCTCGAAGTCAAATCGAAACATCTGTTCAATTATTTATGGTTGCGGTTACCGGACGATTTAAACAATCTTTTCAGCTTACCGCTTAACAATTTATTTAAATTAATGCGAATTATTAATCATTGTTGCAATTGTTTTGTTAAATAATGGGTCATTGAATTATTCAGCACGTGGAGTCGGACTCCCCCACAACTCTTTAACAATCGCAGAAAAAATAAATAAAGTAAAGACAATTTTGTTTAGTAGAGCAGGTCCGCGGAGGAAAATATTCTTTAATAAATCCACGCCTTTTATAGATGCCTAAAAATAGTCTTTAAAAAATCCACGTCTTCCGGAGATGCCTAAAAATAGTCTTTAAAAAATCCACGTCTTCCGGAGATGCCTAAAAATAGTCTTTAAAAAATCCACGCCTTCCGGAGATGCCTAAAAATAGTCCTTAAAAAATCCACGCTTTTTATAGATGCCTAAAAATAGTCTTTACAAAATCCACGCCTTCCGGAGATGCCTAAAATAGTCTTTAAAAAATCCACGCCTTCCGGAGATGCCTAAAAATAGTCCATAAAAAATCCACGCTTTTTATAGATGCCTAAAAATAGTCTTTAAAAAATCCACGCCTTATGTGAATGCCTAAAAATAGTCTTTAAAAAATCCACGCCTTATGTGAATGCCTAAAAATAGTCTTTAAAAAATCCACGCCTTTGATAGGTGCCTAAAAATATTCTTTAATAAATCCACGCCTCAGTTGGCCCTTGAAAAATAGTCTTTAATAAATCCACGCCTTCCGGAGATGCCTAAAATAGTCTTTAATAAATCCATGCCTTTGATAGGTGCCTAAAAATATTCTTAAATAAATCCACGCCTCAGTTGGCCCTTGAAAAATATTCTTAAATAAATCCACGCCTCAGTTGGCCCTTTAAAAATATTCTTTAATAAATCCATGCCTCAGTTGGCCCTTTAAAAATATTCTTTAATAAATCCACGCCTCAGTTGGCCCTTTAAAAATATTCTTTAATAAATCCACGCCTCAGTTTGGCCCTTTAAAAATATTCTTTAATAAATCCACGCCTCAGTTGGCCCTTTAAAAATATTCTTTAATAAATCCACGCCTCAGTTGGCCCTTTAAAAATATTCTTTAATAAATCCACGCCTCAGTTGGCCCTTTAAAAATATTCTTTAATAAATCCACGCCTCAGTTGGCCCTTTAAAAATATTCTTTAATAAATCCACGCCTTATGTGGATGCCTAAAAATATTCTTTAATAAATTCACGCCTTCCGGAGGTTTCTAAAAATATTCTTTAATAAATCCACGCCTTCAAGAGATGCCTTAAAATATTCTGTGAACTTGTAATAAAATATGAATAATCCCTCTATATTCAATTCGATGCTTCTGCAGTTCAAGGACAATATCCAGCCGCAGATCATTGACGAAGTCATTCCACCCTAAAAACCACAACATTTATTGAGGCTTTCGTCAAGGATGTTGCTTGTCATGACCACAAATGGAACCAGTTTTAGAAACCGGAGTCCAATGAGAATTTTTTCGAGGACATTTTAAAGGGGTCTTGATTCCGAATCCCGTTAATTGACAACCATATTCACATATGCATATCAAAATTGTTTTTATCGCTAGTTTTTTTTCCAAACGCTTCATTGCAATTAATATCGACAACAATGATGTGTTAAACAAATACTTGTATACAATGTTTTTGTTATTGTTGTTGTTATTATTTATTTTTGTTGTTGTATGCTTCATTAGGAGACCTTCTTACTGACTGAGGGGCAACAATGAAATTACAACCTAGAAGCCCTCTAAAGATTAATGAATCTGTTGCGATTCCACATCAGCTTCATCAACATCGCATGTTGAGGAGGGGAGTTTCCCCCTCTTAAAATAAAAACAAGATTTGTTGTGTTTTTTTGTATTTTGGCCAAGCTATGACTTGTAAGACAAGTATAACTACATCCGAAAATAAAAATTATGCGAATTGGCCTTGAAGAATACGTCAACACGTTTTTGGGTAGCTTTTTAGCTAAGCGAGGGAAGGGGAGATGCTTTGAATAGAGGGGATCTTCTTTAATTTATTGCCGAAGTATATGTAGACAGATGTGAGTCACTGCGACGTCACTGAACTATTATTTTTGTGACGTCGGACGAGGGGGATTTTGTGCATTATTTATAGGTAGCGGAATAACCAATAGTTTCGGAAATTACTTTTTGTTGTTATTTTTTTATATTTTATTGTTAGGTGGTTAATTAAAAATTCAATTTACATAGAGATGATGATGATGTTATTCCATTTTGATGTTTATCTATTATTAGCAAACTAAAGTGACAAGATTATTATTAAGATAAAACACAAAAAAGTGATTTGAGTGATTGAAGGGCGTATTTGAAAAAAAAAAAATCGAAATAATTAAAAAAAGATGACTGAATAGCATTTTTTGTGGAATTTTTAAGAATTTATGTTCTTGGGACTAAGGCAAAAATTAAAAAAATATATATTTTTCGAAGAACCTACAAAAATCGGGACTTGTTAACAATGTTTGTCTAGGGTTCTATATAAGACGTGGATATTTTAAAGAATTGTTTTTTCCAGGAATCTACCAAAATCGAGGATTTCAAAATTATGTTTTTGCAGATTTCTTAAAAAATATTTTTCAAGGTTCCTATTTAAAGCGTGTATTTTTATAGACTTTTTTCGTCGGCCATAGTGCGATGATTTTTATATATTTGTCGTCAGGCCTATCCTGCAGATAGGTGGAAGAATATTTTTTCCAAGAACTACCATAAGGCGTGAATTTTTTTTAAACACTATATTTTTGAGAATATAATTTTTTTATGCCCCTATAAATGGTGGGATTTCTTCAAGATGTTCTTCATAATCTTCATAATCCTACAAAAAGTGGTTGAGGATTTTATTAGAATATTTCCTTTTCTACTAAAAGCCAGTGAGCGGAGCAGTATAGTCGGACGGGGCCGACCATATGATACCCTACAACAACACAACACCCAAGGAAATGTAACGTTGTGTCGTACTTTATTCTGAGCTTGGGCAATATTTCGCGATATTTGCAACCTCTTGACCGACTAGAGGTCAGCCAATATTACTAATATCCAGTCCGGCCCTTCTAATTTCTTGTCCAAATTCCCTTCACCGTGGGTTGTGTTGTGATGTACGGCTTTCAATTGTGGCCTACAGATAGACTCAAAAAAAAAAAAACAGTAAGGAAAGTAGTAAAGTCGGACGGGACCGACTATATTATACCCTTCACCACTATGTGTATATTAAACAGAACAATTAACATGAAATTGGATGAACTAAAATATGTGACATTTATCGAAATGTGAAAATCGGACGAAACTATATATGGGAGCTTTATCTAAATCTGGACCGATTTTCACGAAACTTGGCAGACATCACTCTAGGCTCAATTCAGTATGTTATGCCAAATTTTGTGCAAATCGAAAGATATTTAGGGACTTTGGTGCACCATTTACATAAAATCGGACGAAAATATATATGGGAGCTATATCTAAATCTGGACCGATTTTCACGAAATTTAGTAGTCATCACTCTAGGCTCAATTCAGTACGTTAAGTCAAGTTTCGGGCAAATCGAAAGATATTTAGGGACTTTGGTGCACCATTTACATAAAATCGGACGAAAATATATATGGGAGCTATATCTAAATCTGAACCAATTTCAATAGGGTTCGTCCCTGGGCCAAATAAGTGAACTGTGCCAAATTTCATCCAAATCGGATCATAAATGCGAGCTGTACTTTGTTCACAAAAATACATGGACGGACGGACGGACAGACGGACATGCGTAAATCGACTCAGAAAGTAATTCTATGCATATTCTCAAAAGGAACTATGGGTCCATCTCGATTCCTTTTGCCTGTTACAAACATATGCACAAAGACATAATACCCTGTACCACAGTGTGGTGAAGGGTATAAAAAAAACACACACAAAAATATGTTTTCGATCCACTGCATCCCAATATTATTATCTGATCATCACCGAAAATTAAAGACGTTATCCTTGACCATACCTGGATCCTCACGGAAATTTTCAAAGCGATCCGCTCTATATTTCCGCCTCTAGTGTGGTAATGTGTTACTAAATAATATCTGAGTACGTAAGCACATGTAAATATTTATGTGTAACTCCCACATCCGGGTACATACATACGACAATATAATTGGTATCGATTTAAAGGTCAATCACTTCCCTTCGATACACTATCAACATTTTGGGTCTATGTCCTTCAGGGGACGGTATAGAATATATATTTTGTAATTTTTCACACAAAAGTCAGGGTCCAGGACCCGCTAAGTACTGACCGATCTTTATCAAATCAAATATTGGCCTATCTTTATCAAAACTGGCATGCTCATACTTTGTCCCGATCCCCTTCTCCATGTAAAAATTCGCCATGTTTGAGCCATAATTGTGGCCTCGGGGGCGACCAGAAAAAACGCACAAAAATTTAGTATTTGGTCCATTTCATCCCCTAAATATTAACCGATTTCTACCAAAAACAATAGGGGTCTTCATTGGACAGAAAACATCTTATATGCAAAATTTCATGAAGTTTGGTCCATAACTGTGGCCTGTATCGTGTTTACCAATTATAATAGGCAGACGGACGGACATACGTGTCTAAATCAATTCAGCTAGTCGAGATATGATGATCGGTATACTTAAAGGTGGGTCTAGGATCAATAATTCGGCGTTACAAACTCCTGGGGCTGCATAAAGCTATAATATACTGCCTACATAATTTTGTAGGGTATACAAATATTTTTAGGAACTTATAAAAAGGCGAGGATTAAAAAATATTTATAATGGCCTAAATAGGGCGTAGGTTTTTAGGAACAACATTATTTGGGGACTATAAAAGGTGTAGATTTTGGATGTAATAACATATTTTTTCCGGGACCTATACAAGCCTTGGATTGTTAAAATTATTGTTTTCAGTGTCCCGTATAAGGCGTGGATTTTTAAAAAATATTTTCAAAGGACCTATATAAGGCCGCGAATTTTTAAAAAATATAAGGCATGAATTACAGAAAATAAATTTTCAAAGTCCTACACAATGCGGGATTTTTTAAAAATATGTCTACAAATTAAGGCGTGGTTCTATTAAAAAATATTAAAAAAATTGGTTTTGGTTGTTTTTTTTTTTTTAATTAAGTTCATTGACATTCTATTAGTGACCTTATTTAAAAAATTGGGTAGAATGTAGTTCTATAAACTATGAAATTTGCAAATTTCGAAATATTCGAAATAAAAATTAAAATTTTATACACAGCCAGTCTACATTCTTCAATAAATTTCAAATGCAAATTTGCCAAAAACTTTTTGCAGACTCTAAACTGGCTTGAAGATGATGTCTGAAACTAAAAAAAAAATCTCAACAAAACGGGTCACAAGACAATGTGACAGCAAAAACGTGATTTTGTCATATTTTATTTATAAATATAAAATAAATGTTTTTGAAATAAATTTAAAAAAATAATTTTAAAAATCCACGACATTTAAAGGTTCCTGAAAAATACTTTAAAAAATCCAGGCTGTATATGGGTACATGGAAAATATTTTTTTAAAAATATTCACCACACTGTGGTACAGGGTATTACGTCTTTGTGCATATGTATGTAACAGGCAAAAGAAAACGAGATAGACCCATGGTTCCTTTTGAGAATATGCATAGAATCACTTTCTGAATCAATTTATGCATGTCCGTCCGCCTGTCTATGTTAAATTGTAAACAAAGTACAGGTCGCATTTATAATCCGATTTAGATGAAATGTGGCACAATTCACTTATTTGGCCCAAGGACGGACCCTATTGAAATTGAAAAAAATCGGTTCAGATTTAGATATAGCTCCCATATATATTTTCGTCCGATTTAAGATAATTAAAAATTGTTCGATTTGCACGAAATTTGGCATAGCCTCCTGAATTAAGTCTAGAATGACGTGTGCTAAGTTTCGAAAATCGGTTCAGATTTAGATATAGCTCCCATACATAGTTTCGCCCGATTTTAGGTAAATGGTGCACCAAAGTCCCTGCAAATCGTTTGATCCACACGAATTTTCGCATATCGTACTGAATTATGTCTAGAATGATGTGCGCTAAGTTTCGTGAAAATCGGTTCAGATTTAGATATAGCTCCCATATATATTTTCGTCCGATTTTACGTAAATGGCGCACCACAGTCCCTATATATCTTTCGATTTGCACGAAATTTGGCATATCCTACTGAATTAGGTCTATAATGACGTTTGCCAAGTTTCGTGAAAATCGGTTTGGATTTAGATATAGGTCCCATATATATTTTCGTCCGATTTTATGTAAATGGAGCACCACGGTCCCTAAATATCTTTCGATTTGCACGAAATTTGGCATAGCGTACCGAATTGGGTCTAAAATGACGTGTGCTAAGTTTCGTGAAAATCGGTTCAGATTTCGATATAGCTCCCATATATAGATTCGTCCGATTTTAGGTAAATCATGCACCAAAGTCCCTATATATTATTCGAATTGCACGAAATTTGGCACAGCCTACTGAATTAGGTCTAGAATGTTGTGTGCTAAGTTTCGTGGAAATCGGTTCAGATTTAGATATAGCTCCCATACATAGTTTCGCTCGATTTTAGATAAATGGGGCACCCAAGTCCCTGTATATCTTTCGAATTGCACGAAATTTGGCACATCCTACTGAATTAGGTCTAAAATGATGTGTGCTAAGTTTCGTGAAAATCGGTTCAGATTTCGATATAGCTCCTATTTATATATTCCTCCGATATTATATAAATGGTGTACCAAAGTCCCTACATTTCCTTCGATTTGCACGACATTTGTCATAGCGTACTGAATTGAGTCTAGAATGATGTGTGGTAAGTTTCGGGAAAATCGGTTCATAGCTCCCACATAAACATATATATTCGTACGATTTTACATAAATGGTGCACCAAACTCCTAATGTTTGTTCGATTAACACGAAATTTTGCACAACGTATCACATTGAGACTTGTCCCAAGGTACGCAGACGACTCTTAATCTGCCCTAATAACATTAAATTTAGCATAGGTTGTAGAAAGACATGAGTATGTTCCACAATATGTACAATATACCCAAAGTGGTGAAGGGTATCATATAGTCGGCCCCGTCCGATTTTCTACTCTCCTTACTGGTTTTAATTTACTTATTGATTTTGTTTTTAATATTTTATTTCAAAAATATTTTTTTAATCGATGCAATTGCATTACAAACAATTTTGTTAGCTATTTTATATTTGTATCAGAAAAACAAATATTAAAAAAAAATTCCCAACTTACATTTCCCATCATCGGGTATTTCCACAGCCTCTCCATGTGGTGGCTGCCATAATACTGATAACAGCAATAAAATATTAAATATTTTAAATCCCATGATAATTAATGGACAGAACTCAGCACTTTATCTAATTTTGACTTTTATCACTTTTCAATATTATTTAATTATTTTTTTTAATAACTTGTTTTCAAATATTCTTAAGCACGTCTTCTTCACTTAATTTTTTAACGATTAATATTTATGGATTTTTTTTTATTTTTTAATTGCAGCGGCTTGATGTTAATTATCAAAATTACTATCTCTCCCTCTCGAACGTAATGATATTTATTTTTTCAAAATCGAATATTAATTTTTTATATTTTGAACTGCCATTGAACGTAATTCCGATAAGTCGTTTGTGCCGCTCGTTGTGATGCTCTTGAAAGTCGAGCTTCAACTGAATTTTATATTTCGACGGTTAACTGGCTGGTCAATGTTTACATATGACAGCGAGATTTTCTGTTACTGCTGCTGCTGGGCGAGCTTGGATGCGAAACGCCAGTTTGAATAAGACAACAACAACAAACAAACAAATATAAATATAACAACAAAAATAACAACCGCCTAAACGCAATCTTATATTCTCAGCTCGAAAAAAAGGGAACTACATTTGTTTGCAGTTTTATTGAGAAGCTGAACAAAATAACGCAGCAAAAATAGGGTGGCCAAATAGGGGGACCAAGGGGGCTTGATTTAAATAAAAATATTATTCGAGTGCGGATAGGCGTGGATTTTTTAAAAATATTTTTTATAGACCTATATAAGGCTGGATAGGCATATGGTTCCTTTTGAGATTATGCATAGAATCACTTTCTGAGTCGATTTATGCATGTCCGGCCGTCCGTCCGTCCGCCTTTCTGTCCATGTTGAATTTTAAAAAAAAGTACATGTTGCATTTATGATCCGATTTAGATGAAATTTGGCACAGCTCACTTATATGGCCCAAGAACGAACCCTATTGAAACTGAAGAAAATCGGTTCAGATTACTATATAGCTCCCGTATATAGTTTCTTCCGATTTAAGGTAAATGGGGCACCAAAGTCCCTATATATCTTTCGATTTGCATGAAATTTGGCATAGAGGTCCGGATTAAGTCCAGAATGATGTGTGGTAAATTTCATGAAAATCGGTTCAGTTTTAGATATAGCTCCCATATATATTTTCGTCCGATTTAAGGTAAATGGTGCACCAAAGTCCCTATATTTACTTCGATTTGCACGAAATTTGGCATAACGTACTGAATAAGATCTAGAATGGTGCGTGTTAAGTTTCGTGAAAATCGGTTCAGATTTAGCTATAGCTTCCATATATTTTTCGTCCGATTTAAGGTAAATGGTGTACAAAGGTCCCTATAAACCTTTCGATTTGCACGAAATTTGGCATAACGTACTGAATAAGGTCTAGAACGATGTGTGCTAAGTTTACTGAAAATCGGTCCAGATTTAGATATAGCTCCCATATATATTTTCGTCCGATTTAAGGTAAATGGGGCACCAAAGTCCCTATATATCTTTCGATTTGCACGAAATTTGGCATAGTGTACTGAATTGTGTCTAGAATGAAGTGTGTCAAGTTTCGAGAAAATCGGTTCAGATTTAGATATAGCTCCCATATATATTTTCGTCCGATTTAAGGTAAATGGTGCACCAATGTCCCTATATTTACTCGATTTGCACGAAATTTTGCATAGCGTACTGAATTAAGTCTAGAACGATGTGTGTTAAGTTTCGTTAAAATCGGTTCAGATTTCGATATAGATCCAATATATATTTTCATCCGATTTAAGGTAAATGGGGCACCAAAGTCCTTATATATATTTCGATTCGTACGAAATTTGGCATATCGTATTGAATAAGGCCAAGAGTGATGTGTGCTAAATTTCGTGAAAATCGGTTCAGATTTAGATATAGCTCCCATATATATTTTCGTCCGATTTAATATAAATGGTGCACCAACGTTCCTAAATATCTTCCGATTTGCACGAAATTTGGCATAGCGTACTGAATTAAGAGTAGAATAATGTGTGTTAAGTTTCGTGAAAATCGGTTCAGATTTAGATATAGCTCCCATATATATTTTCGTCCGATTTAAGGTAAATGGTGCACCAAAGTCCCTATATATTCTTCGATTTGCAAGAAATTTGGGACAGCGTAATGAATTAAACCTAGAATGATGTGTGTCAAGTTTCCTGAAAATCGGTCCAGATTTAGATATAGCTCCCATATATATTTTCGTCCAATTTCGTAAATAGTGTACCAAAGTCTCTTTATATCCTTCGATTTGCACGAAATTCGGCATGGCGTACTGAATTAAATCTGAAATGTTTCGTGAAAATCGGTTCAAATTTAGATATAGCTTCATATTAAGGGACCTCTGAGAAGGGTGTATTTTTTTTTAAACATTTGTCGGGGACATAAAGCGTGTTTTTTATTTTTTTTTCTTGAAATGGCAACCCTCATTCTTCTCTATTTAAGAATATTGACTGAAAATGCATTTCGTATAATATTGATAATTAACGTTCAGTTCGAGTAAATCAAGTCCATGATAAAAATAGTGTAAAGACTATATTTTTGTTGCTGTTCTTATTGTTGTTGTTGCTGCTATTTTTTAACATCATCATCACAAGGCAATCAGATAATCTGAAACTAAGTTTTATATTCAAAACACGTTGACAGATACGCTTTTATTTTTGTGAATTTTAGTAAGAAGTTGAAATAAAAAAAAAAAATAAACCGAACTGCAGTGGTGGGAACTTGTTCAGCTTCAAAAGAGTACTTACCGGTTTTGACATGGCGTGAAGAAAAAAAATCTGACACATGCTTACGATTTGCTATTTAACAAAATTGAAATGAGGTATTAAAATTGGGCTTTATTTATAGCCAACTAAAAGGTTTGAATGCTTTACGGAATTAGAAAATTTTCAAAATAATAATTAAATGGTTATTATTTCGTATCTTTGGATCAGTTGAGATATTTTATGGTATTGTTAAAAACCCATATTTTTAAAAAACCTATAATAATTTAGTAACGCCTTTTTATATTTGAAAGGTAATTTAGCGTGTTTTAAAGCCACGTCGTGTGGCTTACAACCTTTCCTAACATTTTTATTTCTTTTGTTAACAATTAAGGTCATGTTCCACAAAAACACACAACACACAAAAAATGGGTCATTAAATTTGTTAAAAATTAAAAAAAAAATGTACAAAAATTGATTGATGTCTAATTCGTTTGTCAATTGTTTTAATTAATTATTTTTTCTTATATATAAAACATGGTACAATTATTATACCATGTATATAAAATTAAAAATAAAAAAATTACCCTTAAAAAACATTAATAAAAAATCCACGCCTTGTGTAGATTTTTGAAAAAATATTTTCTAAAAATCCACGCCGCGTAGAGCCTTGGAAATTAAAAATTTTAAACCAGTAAGGAAATCAGTAAAGTAGGATTGGGCGGATTATATGACTATAAGATACCCTTCACCACTTTGGATATATTCTACATATGTACCCTAACAGACGTCGACTTTTCGAACGAATACTTATTTCAGTATGTTGTGTCAATCGGCGTAGATATGGGTCGTTAGTGCACCATTAAATCGGACGAAAATATATATGGGAGCTATATCTAAATCTGAACCGATTTTCAGGAAACTTAACACACATCACTCTAGACTCAATTCAGTACACTATGCCAAATTTCGTGCAAATCAAAAGAAAAGTAGGGGCTTTGGTACACTATTTACATAAAATCGGCCGAAAATATATATAGGAGTTATATCTAAATCTGAACCGATTTTTCCCAATTTCAATAGGGTTTGTCTTTGGGCCAAAAAAGTTAGATGTGCCAAATTTCGTTCAATTCGAATCATAATTTTCATCCAATTTGAATCATTTTTATTTAACAGACAGACGGACGGACATGTATATATCGACTTAGTGATTCTATGCATATTCTCAAAAGGAACCCTGTGTCTATCTCGTTTTTTTGCCTGTTACAAACATATACACAAATACATAATACCCTGTACCACAGTGTACTGAAGGGTATAAAAAAGCACGCCTTATAGGCATAACGTTTAAATTATTTTTAAAAATCCACAAGTTGTGTGTGTCCCTTTAAAATATTTGTAAAACACACGCCTTGTATAGGTCCTTTAAAAAGTATTTTTAAAAATATTTTAAACCCAGTGAGCGGAGCAGTATAATCGCACGGAGCCGACCATACGATACCCTACACAACTACCACAGAACTCTATATAAGAGGTCTACAACACCTCTTCCTTATACTGATGAATCGAAAAAAGAACACAAAAAATAGTTTTCGGTCCACACAAAAAAATTGTTTTCGGTCCACTTCATCACAAAATTATTATCTGATTATCACCGAAAATTATAGGCGTTGTCCTTGACCATAACTGGAACTTCATGGAACATGTTAAAGCGATCAGGGCTATATTTCCGCCCTCTAGTGTGGTAAAGGGTTATTAAATAATATCTGAATACATAAGCACCTGTAAATATTTACGTATAAATCCTACATCCGAGTACATACGACCATATAATTGGTATCAATTTAAAGGTCAACCACAGCCCTTGGATATACCAACAACTTTTCGGGTCTATGTCCATCAGAGGTAAATATACACGCCATAGAATATAAATTTTGCCACTTTTCACATAAAAGTCAGGGTCCATTTTACCCGCTAAATATTGACCGATCCTTATCAAAACAGGCATGCTTATTCTTTGGCCCGATCCCATTCTCTATGTAAAAATTCGCGATGTTTGGGTTATAATTGCGGCCTCTAGAGCGACCAGAAAAACCGATAAAAATTAAGTATTTGGTCCATTTCATCCCCATAGATATTAACCGATCTTTATCAAAAACAATAGGGGTCTTCATTTTGGCCAGAACCCATCCTACATGCAAAATGTCGTGAAGATTGGTCCATAACTGTGACCAGTATCGTGTTTAAAAAATATAATGGACAGACGGACGGACGGACACACATGTCTAAATCGACTCAGCTAGCCGAGATATGACGATCGGT